TCTACTCAACGTTTAATAAATGCAAGACCCTATTCTAAGAGTTGAAGACATCAACAACAAAATAGTCCCCTTTTCCAGGGAACATACAGGCTAATTGGCATGAGACCCACATTAGCAAGTAATTTCATTATAATTTGGTAAATTAGTGTAAGTAAGATACCATCAGCACATAGAAGATAGGGACAAGTGGAATTAGTGGAAGTCAGGGAAAGGTACCATATATCAGAGTTCTTGATTATAAGCAACCGAAACCAACTCTGGCTAACATAAGGAGAGAAGGAGTTTGTGGCTATGAGGGCCATTGAGGAGTTTGTAAGCAGAGCCATGGCATGGACATTTCAGGTTTTAAGAAGAGTACTCTGGCATAATACATTGGGTAATCGGTTGGAGGGGTGTGACCATGAAGGCAGGGAAACAGGTAAGACACTGGTGATTATCTGGATGAGAGACAATAAGGGGATGAATCAAGGCACTGGCAGTGGGAATGGGAAGGGTAGTTTGATGTGTTCAAACTCATTCTAAGATTGAGAACTGTCACTATTCAGCCCCTCCTTTTCCAGTGCACTCAACACCACTCCTACCATCGCCTGTAAACAGAGCGTAACTCACTGTCAACTAGACATACTAGTCCTGTTACCCCTTCCTAAAATGCCTTTGCCCTCTGCTGTCTTGCTAAGAGCCCTCCCTTCCAGTTTAAGGTGTAGCTCATGATCACCTACTGTTCAGTAGTCTCTTAATACCTTTATGCTCTGCTGTCATTGTTTTGAGGGATCACCTGTCATAATAGGTTAGAGAGCCTACTGTATTAGTGTTTTATGTTGCCGCCATACCCCCCTGCCATCTGCTTTGAACTACTTGAGGCCAGTTCTTGTTTTTCCTTGTACACTCAGGCCCTAAAATGGGCCCGGCACAGAGAACTCAGTACATGTTTCTGATGATGCTGCCCCCTTACTTTGCCAGGCACACTGAGGTCCTGTTGTGACCAATAGCTTTCATCTCCAAGCTCCTTGTCAGTGTGGTCCAAGGAGCATTCATCTCCTGTAGGTACATTTCTTCGGTCACTCTCCACCCAAACCTTTGGCAGCTTAACATTTCCCACTGAATTCTTCTCCTCAGCTGTTAAGGCTACCAATTCTCTCTCCCCACATTTCCCCAGTAAACACCTCAGCTCTCATCAGACTGACCTCTTCACCCACCTAGAAACAAGCCCACAAAGGTCTGACTCTTAATCTTCACTTAATGGTGATCCTTTGTCCCGGGGATGCCCTCAAATATCCTTACTCCTCCCTTCCGGTGGCCCAGAACCAAGGATGTCCTTCAGATCCAAGAAATCTGCTCAATTCTTTATGGCTCCAGCCCTTGGAGATCTCTAAGTGGCTGAGCAGCATTTTTGGTGTGTCCTCCAGCAGGATTATTCCTGGATTTGTTGTGTTTGCTCTTCTGTGTCTCCAGCTAGATTGCAAGCTGCTTGTGGGTCACTGTTTCAAAGGGTGCTTAGTACATTTCCAAACACATAGGACTCATGAATATGTATTAGAGGATTGGCACAAGATAGATCTATTTCTGTGACTCCCATCTTTTCAGCCAACTGTTCTCCACCCCCAGATTTTAGTGTGTAAGGCCGCCGAGAAAGAAGCTGTTCTCTGAAGTGGCAAGCCAGAGACTGCAATGAAATTTGCAGTGTCTCTTGGTCAGTCCTGCTGCTGATACTGAGTCACTACCATTTGTGGTGATTTTCAGCCTAACTTTATGATTCACATTCTAAAAATGGGGTGAGGTTTTTATAGAGAAACCAATTCTAGTGTGAACTTAGCCTCACAATTATTGGGTTCCTCTGTGGTTTCTAGCTGCTAGCACAGCACCCGCAAGGCCTAGCATCTCATGATTTATTAGATGTGGCTGTTTCGTGGCAGATAGCTAGAATCCATTTCACTGGGTTATAATAAAGGGTTCCCTGTAACAAATTTGTTCCACCAGGCTTTCTTGGGACTGCTTATTATCAACAACCAGCTTGTATCTAGATCTGAGATGGACAAGCTAAGGAAGGGTAGATAAATCCTTGGGACTCTTCTTTCATTCATATTTTCTGAGTAGTGGTCTTGATTCCTCAGCCAAAGTGAGCTTGTATCTCTAAAGTGGAGGTTGAGTGCTTGACTCTGCTTAACATCTGGGAGAACTTCTCTAAAAATGATTGAAAAAAGAAATGACTAAAGCCAGAATGTGTAAGTGACAGAAAAGGGTGGTTTCATGAATTTGTATTCTAGTCCCAAGACTTCTACTAACGAGCTGTGTAACTTCTGGCAAGTAATTTAATAACAGCAGTGGTTATAGCTGACATTTATAAGGTGTGTGGAATGGGGCCTGGCAGGCATATAGTAAGCCCTCTGTAAGGTCACCTGCTATTATCATTGTCATTGTTACAGAGTGCTTATTACTCCCAGTACTAAGCACTCAGTATGTATTATCTCTCTTAATCCTTAAAATTATGAAGTGAATTTTGTTATTCCTTCTGTACAGAGGTAAAATGAGTCTTAAAAGCTGTAGAGGATTCAAATCCCAGGCCCATGCTTTTATTCTCTGTTGCTACATTTGATTTCCTTGGACCTCAGTTTACTCATCTGTGAACTTGAGAGCTGGACTGTTGGTCTTTAAAACCCTTGAGCTCTACAATTTCTAGGTATTTTTTTCCCATTACCCTCACCCTTTTCCTTTTCCTCTTCCCTTGTCCCATCCCCCACCCACACTCATCTGTGAATTTCGCTGGATTCATCATCACGGGGTCAGGAGGATGTTTTCCCCATTGAGCTATGATGCTGCATGTGTCAGCACATGAATTTGTATTGTGGCTTTTTTGTTGCTGTTGGATCTGGTTTACATACTGCTGTTATTGGGAGAGGAGGAGTCTGACTCTTCAATTTTGCTGTCTTATCGTGGCCTGCAGCCATTACCACACTGAGTGACGTTGATGTCTGATGGCACTTGAGAAAGGCTTTATGGGAGAAGCCTGCTGGTGTCAGCTCTTAAGGTCTTTGGGCTTATGCGTGGTTTTCTGGTGAGATCTGGGTTTGGAGCATTGCACTCTCTGGGCTGTTTGCACACGTCTGGTCTTGTGGTTGGTAAGAATCTTAGGAGAGGGACTTGGAAGAGAGATTTCCAGGCTTTCCATTTTCTGTACAGCTGGAATGCCCTGGCAGATTTCCACATGGGGAGTTCCACTGATCATTTCATTATGGTTCCATTGCCATTGATGTTTGTAAAGTGCTTTAGTTGGACGATAGTCTGCATATATTCTAGTACTGTTGTTGTGGCTTTGACTCAAAGATCAGAGTGTTTTGGCACCAGAAGACCCAGGTTTAAGGGTGTCATTGATAGCTTGGTGCATTGAACACACCTGCTTAATATGGCCTCTAGTTGATCATTCTGTGGATGGATCTTATAGAGGAAAAAAAAGAGTCCATTTGTCACTGTCCTGGGATGTGTGAATTTTTCCACTTGGAATCCTGGAGGAAACATCTTAGGGCACCAAACAAAGGCCTGGAAACAACAAAACTGTTGGATAAGTCACTCCTCTCACCCCAAATTTCTTCATCTGTAAAGGAATATATAGTTAAATATCTTACTCAACTAAAATGGCTATCAAATCAAATGAGGTATGGTATGAAAATACGTTTCTGAAAATTATAAATGTCTGCAAGCAGTTATTTTTAGGGAGTATTGTACAGCAAAACTGTTTTAGTTACCAAAAAAGGCAAAAACTATTACATATTTCTATTCACATTAAGCCCAGAATAGATGATTTATAGCAGATAATAATCTACACTAAAATTTCCTCAACATGTTCTTTGTGTTATACACCAGTCAGAAGACTGTGAGTTAAATTGTCCTAGACTAAAATGAATATTGTGAATATTCCATTAATAAGAACTGGTAGTGTTCAGGGCAGATGGTAACTCTTTTGTGGAAACACATTAATTTTGCATTAATTCAGATTTCATTAATTTATTATGAGAGCAAGAGCTAGGTTCAAGTTGTAAATGGACATTAATAGTACAAACAGAATTATAAGTCTATTAAGTCTATTAAGTTCTATATACATAGAACATAATTGCAATGTGAGTAAAGGCTAGACTTTTATGTACTATTTCATAGTAGATTGAAAATGGTCTAGATTGAAAATATGTTTCTTTAACTCACATGTTTCACTAAAGCAAATATTCCCTCCCCCTTTACTCCAAATGAAAAAGATGACTCCATTTCTGTTTTTCTTGATTGGTAAACCATGCTTGGAGGTACCATCTGGAGATGGTTGGGTTTCTGCCAAGAATTTAAATCAGGCCTGCTAAAAAGCTACCTGCCTAAGGCAAGAAACTGCATTGATTTAATAGGAAAAAACAGGCTTTTATTTTACTGTCCTGTAAAAGAAAGTGAAAGTACTTTGAAAAGTTTTAACTTTTGTTTTACCATAATGGCATTATATTACAAATAAAAGTATGTCTAAAATATGATAATTGGGGAAATTTGGGAATCTAATTGCTAAAATTTGCATGATTATTTGCAAATCTGATATGAAGTCACGTACAGAGATCTTGATGCTAAAGGCAGATACAGTAAAACCTTGGATTGCGAGTAACTTGTTCTGTGAGTGTTCCGCAAGATAAGCAAACATTTCTAATAAATTTTTACTTGATGAACAATCGATGTCTTGTAATACAAGTAGTATGTGACACCAAACGTCACATGATCACAACTGAGCCAACGGATCTTGAAATTTGTTTTGATAGACAAGTTCTTTGGAATACAAGCATGTTTCCAGAACAAATTCTGCTCACAAACCAAGGTTTTACTTGTATGAGAATTGGGGACAAGACAGGGCAGAGAGAAGGAATACAAGTTGGAAACTCTCCAGACCCCCCTGTGGGCAATGTTGAAAACCCTGGACCTGTGTGTATTGGATATAAGGTGACAGTTGTCATTTTAACTTTTGTTATTTTTTTACACAGATTTCTGCTTGGCAGATTAGCCAGACAAGAAGGGCCAATCTATCTACGTTCTGAGTGCCGCTGTCTACAAGACCGTCATAACAGAGCTGAGGCCCAAGTCCAGCGTGCCACCATACCCCACCCCAGACATTACTCTGGGGTCTGCCCGAAGCCATCAGTGTGAAGATGACCAGTGCCTTCCTAGCATGACTTCCTTGGACCATGTGATTGCTACCCACCAGTCGGAGTGGGTCTCCTTCAATGAGGAGCCACTCTTTCCTGTTCCTTCTGAGGGTAAGGAACACTTTCATTTCTTAGGTGAAAAGATTAGCAAAGAACCATAACTGTTTACAATGACTTCTACTTGATCATTCTTTGGGTGGGATCTTAATATGTACAAAAGAGCCAGTGTGTCACCTTCCTGAGGTGCAGATTCTTCCACTTAGAAGCCTTCTTAGAAGCCTTAGGAACCTTAGAATCCCAAACAAAAGGGTCTGGAAACAGCAAAAGTATTGGCTGCTTTCTTCCAAGGAGCATAAACTTCGTATTTACAAACCACTCTACACTTGGCCTTTTAGGGTGTTCCTCCCACCAGCAATTTGGATTTCCTCAGTTTCTAAAGCGTAGTTGCGGAGAGTGACAGGCGTTAGAGCCAGACTGCTTGGGCCCAAATCCTGGCTCTGTCACAAATAAGTGATGTGCCCTTGGGTAGATTGTTTATTCAACTTCTTTGAGCGGTAGTTTATCTGAGCAGTAGGGCAATCACAGTCGCTTCCTCGGGGTGGCTGTGAGGGTTAAATGAATTAATATATGTAAAGGACTTAGACCAGTTCCTGGCACACGGAAAGAGCTCAGTTAATTGTCATCCATGATCATGATAAAGATGGCTAAATGACTTCCAGGGAACTCGTGCTCAGGGATGAAGGTCAAGGTAGGGGTCAGGAGATATTTGCAGAGCCTTGTCAGCTGGTTCTGTTCCACTGCAGCTGCTGCTGTCAACTGGTATCCGCCCAGCGTCACTTACAGCACCTGGAAAGTGTGAGTGTACAGGTGAGCTCTCCAGGATGGAGCCACGTGGCTCTTGAGTCCTTGAAATGTGGCGAGTCCAAATTGAAATGTGTTTGAAGTATAAAATACCCACATTGAATTTCAAAGACCTAGCGAAAGTAAATATTTCATTAATAACGTTTATATTAATGACCTGTTAGAATCATACATTTTCAACACACTGAGTTGAAATTTATATTAGTAAATGTAGTTAACCTCTTTCTTTTTACTTTTTTTAACGTGGCTACTAAAAAATTTTAAATTACATATGTGGTTCACCTTTTATTTCTCTTGGGCAGCACTAGTCTAAAGGGTTTGGTCACATGCAGATGGACTAGTTTGGCGAAGGATGAGAGAAAAAAGTTTTATATTCTTTGATTTTTAAAAAGTTTTCATGTAATAGAGCTTGGCTACTTTTGGTACACATTTGATAAACTTTAACACGTGTATAGATTTGTGTAACCACCGCCACAATTAGGACATAGTTCTTTAAGAAAAAAAATTTTTTTTGAAGGCTGTGAAGTGTTCCTGCACCAATAAAGTGCTAGAAAGCTAGGGGAGAAGCTTCTGGGCTTCATTCAGCTTATCATTGGTACGGAGTTTGCACCTGGTGGTCTGCAGACATGTGTAGTTTCAACTGCACAGAGGTTAAAGTTTGAATTTAAAACTGCACAGAGGTTAAAGTTGAAGGTGTTCAGTCCAGACGGATGCTTTCTTGTTCAGTGTGAGTGTCTACCAGTCCTTGTTGCCTTTTGCTTTCCTCATTCGACTCAGTTATATTCCTGTTTGGCCTCTATAAACATTTTTGTTTGTGACTGCCAAGCACTGGAATAGGCACTGGGGTCAGAATAGTAAGACTGGAAGTCTCAGCCTGCCTGAATACTGACTGTGGACATGCAGAGGTTATCCTTTGTACCCATTATTAGGGAAACACTCCTTGGGCATAGAGACAGATGGGCATGGCTGTTTCTTCACCCTCACCCACCAGAATGGTGAGTCTTGTGATCACCCCTTACCTATCCTTGGTTTTTCCTCCACGAGACAGTTTTGAAGAGGGGCCTCCCTCACATGATTGATGGCAGTGTCTGGTATCTGTTTCAGGGGGCACTGAAGAGCACCTCCCAGGACTGTCTTCTTACTCAGACCGGTCTGAGAGCTCCTCCGGGGAGAACCATGTGGCACATGGAGGCTCTCAGGAACTTTCCCACTCAGAGCAGGATGACTCCTCTGAAAAGTTGGGCCTCATCTCTGAAGCGGCGTCCCCTCCTGGGAGCCCTGAGCAGCCCCCACCTGACCTGGCCTCGGCCTTCAGCAACTGGGTTCAGTTTGAAGATGACACACCCTGGGCCAGCACGTCACCACCTCATAAGGAAACAAGGGAGACAGGTGGGAGGCTGCGAAGGGTTCTGACTTATGTCTATGCTCACCGGGGAGAAGTGGGTGGGGGCTGCCAGGGTGCTGGTTTACCAGAGCCCTCTGGCACTGGCCATACAAAAGAGCTGGCAGAGATCTCATCTGACTTAATTCTACAACTAGTTTTTGTTAACAAAGCATATGGAAGGATTAATGTGTTCTGGGCCATTTCTTGCTTTTTATACTTGTCCCTGGCTGTTAACTTGTCTTTGGAAGAATGAATATTTACTTATCTCTCTATTAGGTATTGCAATTATATTTACCCAGCACCTAAATTATAAGCTCCTTACAGGCATAAGTGAATGCCTTTCAGAGCATGGACCACCATCAATTTCTAATAGAGTCACTAGTTACATATGGATATTCTTGTGTCCCAGACCTGTTGAATCTAAATATTCAGGGGTAGGGACTGCTGTTAATGATAATTCTCTTATTTTTTGTGGCATTTAAACAGCGAGAAGCTGCACTGGGGAGCTTAGTGAAGCCAGAGGAGTTGTTAGTCCCCATCCTGGTGACCTGGCTGCTTATTTGATTGTGTACCAAAGCATACCAGCACTGATTGGATAACCTTTGTGACTATCTTAGTTTTCTGTTTGCTGCATAGCAAACTACCATAAACCTAGTGGTTTAAACAACATAAACTTTATTATCTTATGTTTCTGTAATTCAGAAGTCCAAATGGGCATCACTGGGCTAATTCAAGGTGTTGGCAAGGCTGCATTCCTTCCAGGAGGTTCTGGGGAAACCAGGAAATCTGTTTCCTTGCTCTTTCTAGCTTTTGGATGCTGCCCACATTCCTTGGCACATGGTACCTTCTTCTGTCTCCAAAGCCAGCAATGTTGCAGCTCTCTGTGCCTTTCTTCTGTAGTCACATCTCTAACTGATTGACTTCTGCCCATCTCTTCCGCTTTTAAGGACCCTATGACTACATTGGGCCCACCAGGATAATCCAGGATAATCTCCCCATCCCAGGGCCCTTAATTTAATCATATCTGCGAAGTCCCTTTTGCCATGTAAGGTGACATATTCACAGTTCTGGGGAAGGATGTGGATATCTTTGCGGGGGTGGGGGGCATTATGTTGCCTACCATAGAGCCCTACTAGAAAAAAGCATGGTTGATATTATTTTTGTTGGTGGCTTAAATGTTTTGCTAGTTTTAATTTTTAAAAATAATCCTTTTTGTTTTCAAACATGTTTTCAGCACCAATAAAACAATTTTAAGAAAATATAAAACATAATTTTATATAATAAATACTTCAATTTTTACATACCAATTCGCATGTTATATATACCCTTTCACATTTAAACATCAGATTTCTCAGTGAATCATTGGTGAGAGAGCCATGACACTCAGAGCAGCAAGGATGAAATGACAGGTCCAGACAGGCTTCCCAGTCTTGCTGGTGGGAGGAAGTAACCTCTGCTGAACACCTAATGCTGGCAAAACAGTGGGCTGATTAAGCATTTATGCATGTGGGGAAGAGTTACCCGACATTGGGGAGTGAATCAGTACAGAAATATGTTCCTTATTTTAATAAGATATATTTACCAAATACTTTCTTGGGCACCGTGCTCAGTGTCTTAACCACATCATCTTAATGCACCTCTTAACAGCAATCATATGAGGAAAGCATTAACATTATATTGGACATGAAGAGACTGAGACAGACAGTGGTTTAGGAATTTGCCCAAGGTTGTATGCTGGCAAGTGGCACGGGAGAGCTTCAAAGCCAGGCAGACTGGCCCCAGGATCTTGGAACAGTCCAGGGATGCGCCATGACTTAATTTGCTCCCATGTCCTGCTGTTCCTGGTATGGTTTTCTCTGCTCCCTCATTCTGGGAGGCTGGGGAGTTGAGGATAGGTGCAATGGTGTTTCTCTACTCACTTGCCCCAAAATGGCCCTGCTTTCAGGTCACTGCTGTATTCATGGCATTCAGATTTGCTCACATCTTGTTCATACCTTACCGTTAGCCTCAAAGATTTCTTGGTGGTTCAGAATTATGTAAATGATGGTCGTATAGATGGTCAGTTTGCTGCAACTCTTCACCACTTATTTTTGCAAAACTGACTCTGGGGTTAGTCCTAATTACGTTGCCTCCATCTGACTGAGGATCTTAGCTTGCCATTTGATAGTGCTTTTGACATATTTTTAAAACCTTATCCTTTAATGCAGCAGTTCTCAAAGTGTGGTTTATAGATCACTGGGATTGCCCAAAAGTCTCTCAAAGGGTCCTTGGGGTCAAATTATTTTCATAATAATTCTAAGATTGCCTTTTTCACTGCATTTGAATTTGTATGGTACAAAAGTAATGGCGAGTAAAGATTCTGGCCACCATGTACCCATACTAAAAAAAGAAGTCAATTTCAACATAATATCCTTGATAAAGTAGTAAAAATTATTAATTTTATTGAATTTTATTAAATCTTGATTCTTAAATACATCTTTTTAATATTCTCTGTGGCAAAATGGCATAAAGCACTTCTGTGCCATACTCAAGTGTAACAGTTATCTTGAATAAAAATGGTTGTCTTGGAAAAAAATTGGGTTAAAATTTTTTTTAAATGTCTATTTATTTTTGAGAGAAAGAGAAAGCATGGGGAAGGGGCAGAGAGAGAGAGAAAAGGGACAGGGAATCTGAAGCGGGCTCTGTGCTGACAGGAGACAGCCCAGTGCAGGGCTAGAATTCACAAACTGTGACGAAATGATCTAAGCCAAGGTCAGACGCATAATTGACTGAGCCATCAAAGTGCCCCTAAAATTTGTTTAATAAAAAAATTCATTTAGAAAATCACAATTATTTTAAAGTTATTCAAATTTTCATTCAAAAATGAAAATAATGCAAAAAAAAATCCTTGATGAACAAAGTATCAGTATTTTAAAAAATAAGATTCAACCTATACTTGCATGACTGTCTCACTGGTACCCTGATCCTGGCCCTAGTTCCAATAAAATTTTATTTACAAAAATAGGTGGCTAAGTCTGTGGGCCATAATTTTCTCATTTGATATTTTTAAAATGCCACATTTAAAATGTTACTTGATTCCTGAGATTTTTGTTACCCCCTAAATTTTGCACCCAAAGGGAGTTCCTCACTTGCCTTACCCTAGTCCCAGGTCTGCATTGTAATAAGGATATGGGATGTATGGATATTACTATAGAACAAATCAAGAAATGATAGTTTTCAAATGTATTGAAAGCATTATGTTGCCTTGAAAATTGTTCAGACAACAATTCCATATGTTTCCACATATGAAGATTTAACTCAGCCTTATAGAGGTAGAGCTCTCTGCCTTAGGGGGAGCCTGTAGACTGGTTTCACAGCAGACTTGAGGCTCAATGTGTGGGCAACAAGCAGGAATAAACCATGTTTAGGGCCAGCCCTAAATATTACCTCAGGTAGTATTCTAGGGACCCAAGAACCATGTGTTAAGCATCAGAGTGGTAAAGAAAATGGTAATAAATCCAAGGCTCCAATCCCAACTCTTCTGCCAATACCCAGCCTTGACCCATCAATATCTCTATCACCCAAACCAACCTCACCCATGTATGCTAATTCCCTCGTGGATTTCCTTACACAGATTGGGTTTGACAACAAGGCAGAGTGGTTGGTAGAGCTAAGGTCACATGATAAGGAGAAAGGAGGCTTCCACCTCTCAACACAGATAATGCAGATCTCTCCCAAGATAGACAGTTCCATTCTGACAGCTGTCGGGCAGCTCAGATTTTGATTTAAATTCAACAGATTCGAGAACTTGTGCAATGTCAATAATACCTCATACGTAACTGCAGGCATTACACCAAAATAACACAGATCTGTGCAGCAAGTATCCTCATAGTGATAGAGACAGTCTGAGGTTTCTTACAATCACTGCTGCCTGCTCTATTCTTTTGGTAATACTCAGTTTGGTAATACTCAGCTAAATACTGGCCTCCAAAGATATCAGGACCCACTCCCTGGAACCTGTAAATGTTATCTTATTTGAAGAAAGGGTCTTTGCAGATGGGATGAAGTTATGGATTTTGGGGGGCACCTGGGTGTCTTAGTCAGTTAAGCATCTGAGTTAGGCTCAGATCATGATCTCATGCTTCGTGAGTTTGAGCTCCGCATTGGTCTCTGTGCTGACAGTGTGGAGCCTGCTTGGGATTCTCTCTCTCTCCCTCTCTCTCTGCCCCTCCCCTATTCTCTCTCTCTCTCTCTTTCCCTCTCTCTCTCTCTCTCTCTCTCTCTCTGTCAAAATAAATAAATAAACTTAAAGAAAAAGTTAAGGATTTTGATAGAGAGATAATCCTGGATTATCTAGGTGGGCCCTAAATGTAATCACATGTATCCCTTATAAAAGGGAGGCAGAGGGAGATTGTGCCCACACAAAGAAGACAATGCAAAGACAGAACAGAAGGGTATTTGAAGATGGCAACCTTGTAAAGTGGAATGTTGAGGCCACAGTCAAGGGATGCTGGCAGCCCCCGGAAGCCTGAGGCCTACGCAAGGAATGTGTTCTTTCCCAGAGCCTATGGAGGGAGTGCTTGCCAGGCAGGTATCTTGATTTCTACCTAGTGATTCTGACTTCAAACTTCTCACTTCCAGAACTGGGAGGAAACAAAGTTCTCTTGTTTTAACCCACCAAGTTTGTTACAGCAGCCACAGTTAACTAATGGACCAAGTGTCCAAAATCCTAAAGCAGAGCCATTTGCATAAGGCTGAAAATGAGTTAGTCTGGGCTAGAGGAGCATCTGTAATAGTGCAGGCCATTTATTAAGTAGTTGTGTTAGCCGGTATGTTTTACTTTCAAACTTGACAGCCTTTTATAGTTTATTCATTGAATCACCAAATATTTATTAAGCACCTCCTCTGTGTAGTTGTCATAGATGCAGACATTCATATACAAAGCTGAGTAACATAAGTGCTCAGAATTTAACAGAAGCCCGTTGAGTTTCTTCCTGGGTCCTCTAGTATGAAACCAGAGCCAGCC